TCACAGCATCGTATGAAGTTGCTTACTTGATTGCAAAGCAGGGTAAGCCAGGGTTTTAATTAATAAAATAGTAAAAAATATATACTTTTGGGAGGCTGAAATTTTTATGGGGACAAAATATTTTTGGGGGGCCAGAATAAAGTCATACTGTAATTTGTTGTGAGTTCATGCACTGTGTTGGTTTTGTTCTTTGAGCAAGGTGATGTTCATGCACGGCTCATTTTATACACCAGTAAAAAAACATGTACCTTTGTCTTGAATTTGGAAAAAAAAATCATATTTTATTTATCACTAAAAAGGGTTCAGTGAATGCGCATACGAAACTGGTGGGTTCGGTACCTCAAAAAAGGTTAAGAACCACTGATCTAGATATTTTAGTTCTTAAATAATGTATGTGAGGTCTCCATGTCAGCTTGTCATCCATGATGACACCCAGAAACTTCACCTCACTGACTTTACAGATCTCAGCACCATCTACTTTAAATGAGAAATCAACAGTTGTTTTCCTGTAACTAAATATCATGTAATTTGTTTTATCCAGAACCCCCGTTCCCTTCAGGCAAATCATGAAGCTATTAGATGAGGACTGAAATGTTGCTTCAAAAATTAGCATTTGAAAATAAACTCTGTTTCCATCCATTAAAGGTGGCCCCGTGTGACCAGACGGTAACTGAAGGTCAAGATGTTGTTTTGTCAGTAAAAGTCAGAGGGCAGCCTAAACCCACGCTGCTGTGGTGAGACACCTCTTTATTTATTTCATCCACCAGAGGAATAATTTGATGTGACGCACACAGCATGAATTCCGACCGAGGCCACGTCTCCAACCAGCAGCCTATAAATGATGGTGACATCCTGTTTGTTTGGACACAGGCTGAAGGACAGAGTTAAGGTGAGGACAGCCGGGCGAGTCGCCGTGCAAGAAAAAGAAGGCGGCTCCTTTGAAATGAGGATTGGATCGGCCCAGAAGTCAGACGCGGGTCTTTACGTTTGTAAGCTCATCAGTGAGTGTGGAACCAAGCAGGCGGAGTGCAGGGTGGAGGTCAGAGGTGAGGAAGAAAACTCTGAATCCCCATGCCTTACTACAAAATATATGCTGATATTCCATGTTTATTAACAGCCTCGGAGCACACGGAGCTCAAAGTCACCAGAGAGGTGAAAGACGTGGCTGTGAAGGCCGGGGAGTCGGCCACGTTCGAGTGTCACGTCACGGGACCTGCGGAGGTGGACATGGATTGGCTGTCTAACGGGAAGCTCGTCCAGCCAGCACTGCTCAACTGCAAGATGCATTTTGATGGGAAGAGGTTTGTTTTGCCTCAACAAATGATTGAAGCAGTGAGTTTAGTTTTCACATCTTGGCCCCGCTCAAACTAGCTGTTAGCTTGTTGCAGTGGCGGATCTAGGATTTTTCTGAGTAAGGGGCCATCAAGGGGCCACAATATTCTTAGAGGGGCCAAGTATTTATTTAACATCTTTGTACACAAATATCTGATTTTGATAAGATGTATACATTTAACTAGTCACACATGTTCAAACACTTGTAGTGTAATTTAAAAAATCTTGCATGTATATTCTCCTTACAAGTTTTACATGTATTTTTACTGTACATAGATCAAAAACACTCAAACACACAGCATCTGACTCATTAGCACCTCTAGTGTATGAACATGGAACTGCACCCGCCATCATTACTCTTGAGCAAAGGACAAATGAGTGAGAGGACAGGTGCACTTCAGGGGGCCAATCAGATTTCAGCTGGGGCCGATGCCCCTGTGGCCCCTCCCCCAGGACCACCCCTGGCTTGTTGAGAAAGTCAAAATTAAACTCATTTCCTTCAAACTGGGGTTCAAAAGACTATCTACAACAGGTAAGAGTTGAATCAGTGCTGGCTCTAGCCATTTTGGTGCCCTTGGCGAGTTGAAGCGTAGACTAGCTAGAAATAAGTTTTGAAGTTTTTCTGCTCTCTTTTCCTCCTGCTTCGCAGCGGGCGCTTTTCACGTCCTCAGTGAAGCTGACAACCCCCAAACCCCCTACCGGGTGTGAGCTGTATGGATTTTTAGCAAAATTTATGGATTTTTGAGGCTTTTTATACAGATAAACGGTCTAAGAGGTTGACATGTATGAGACAACAAAATACAGACTTGTTATTGAGTTTGTCAACACGAACTGCTACCTGAGAYGCACTACTAGCCCCTCCCCRYTCAGAGTGTCAGAGCAGGATGAGTCAGTGCAACGTCAATCAAATGAGAGAGAGGGTGGGGGCGATTGTTGCATTGGGTGGGGGGATGAGGGGTGCAAAATGATGTATGGGTAGAGTAGTTTATTTTTCCTGTAACACTTCATTATAGTTTTTTAAGACAAAGCTAATTGAAAGGGGCGCTGAGCAGAGTTACAACCAGGGATTACAAATAATTACTTTTTTATTCTGCAATTTGACGCCCCCTCCAGCAGATGGCGCTCTAGTCGACCACCTAGTTCGCCAATGCCAAGAGCCGGCTCTAAGTTGAATGAATGGATTGTTATGAATCTCTAAGAAAATAACGATTGATTGTTCATTATCATCAGATTCACTTTTGGCCATCACAACTAAGCAATGTTAGCCAAAATGGCTGCAACTCAGTCAGTTTTACAGATACTGAGCTCAAATTTAACGTGGAAGAAGCTGCAGGCCACTCATAACACGAATGTTGGGGGGATTTTTTATTTTTCATTTTATTGTTTACTTTGATGTCCAACAGGTGCCGCCTCATTCTGAATTCAGTCCACGAGGACGACAGCGGGACGTACACTTGCAAGCTGAGCACCACCAAAGGTGAAACTTGAAGCTTGTCAAAGTAACAGCAGTGAGTTTAGTTTTCATTTTCAGAAGTCTTCAGAAAAAGAACGTTGAACGTTGGTTTTTGTCTTTACAGAGGAGCTGACTTCAAGTGCAGTCCTGAGAGTCACGCCTTCCAGGGAGCCTCTGTTCACTCGTAAACTGGACGTCCTGGAAGTGATGGAAGGACGCACGGCGCGGTTCGACTGTAAGGTGAGCGGCTCGCCTCCGCTGCGACTCACGTGGATGCACTTTGGTAAGAAACAACACCATGATTTGTCGAAAAATAACCCTAAACAGGCTTTTAACACCAGATTCCTAAGAAGCAATGGTCCTTTTTTTTGTTTTGTTTTTTCATCACGCAATGTTCTGCCAGAGACACGAGTGGAGGAGAACGATAACGTTCACATCCTCCGAGAGGGGGGGCGTCACTCACTTGTCATCGCCCACGTTAGCAGCGCCACAGAAGGCTTTTACACAGCAATCGCTCAGAACATTTATGGAAGGTCTGAATGTACTGCTGAGCTGTACGTGCAAGAACCCAGAGCTGCCATTTCTTCCCACATGTGAGTGGAGGCCCATTCATTCTTCAGTGTACTGTGTTAAAGGGGTCTGTTATGAAAAATCAACTTTTTTGAGCTCATAATGTCATTCCCTCATCAAAAACATAGCCAGAGTGTTGCTTTGCATGTTTGAGAAACCCTTGAACTTCCTGTGGTAGCCATGAGGAGCTCCCCCTATTTGTACAAAGCTCCTCCCTGGAGCTCAGTCTGCAGCAGAGCTCCCCCAAAACATTGTTGTGATAACGTGCTGAAGTGGGAGTGTCAGAAACAGCATGAGGTTCTTAAAGAAACAGAGGCCAATTTCAAGGCGTTTAGATGCAAAGTCAAATTTATTTTTGATATATAGAGAATTTTCATAACAACTGAAGGTGACATAGTGACTTGATTTTGGTGTAGAATTGAACTACTTACTGTATGTGCCTGGAAAAAAAATACCACTCACTATCAGCATAAATATCATATTAAGTTAAGACTTATGGATTTGTTTGAGCTGTTTTTTGTTTCAGGTTGAAACAATTTTACAACAAACAGCTTCAGTGAGAAATGTGTTCACAAGTATGAATTTCCTATGGCTTTCTGTAGAATCTATATACAGTTACAAATATTTGGTCAAATATCCCTTAGCCAGTCACACTTGGACCATAATTGTTTTTTTAAATTTTATTTTATTATTATTTGTATCCATCAAGGAGCTTCAGGCTGATATTTGACTACTGTTTTTCTTCTTGGCAGAATTAGTAGAGCTCATTAATAATTAGTAGGCTTCCTGCCACAGACCTGAATTTAAAGCAAAGTTCGCAAATTTCAGCCAGGTTAGGGTTGATGCTTTGGGAAGGCTGTTCCAGGAGCTTGATGTTAGCCTGATATGTTTGTGATCATTGGGCCTCATGCAAGAACATGTTTGTATTCTTATCCTAAATTTCTCTTACTTTTGTTCGTACAAAGGGTTCGTACGAACATGTCACATCAGATTCAACAAACTCTTCTATCTTCAGGAAAAGTGTGTAAATGAGCTGCATAAATTCCACCTGTTCTATCCAGCTGCTCGTGCACGCGAGAGGAGATTAGCATAATTACCACCCCAAAAACACCATATAAGGCTGTGCTTCCTGCCTCAGATATCAGGAAGTGTCCATTCATGAAAATGACAGCGAAAACTAAAAAGAAGAACTTTACGAGTTCAGAGATTGAAGTCCGTCTGTCAGAGATCCAGAAAAGAAAATCTGTCATTTTTAGCAGGTCAGATGTGGGATAAAAAGAGCTGCTAAACATATAAACAACTGTGTTAAATCATTTTCATTTATTCAGAAGACACACCGTCGCACACACTGGGTATGTTTTTGATGAGGGAATGACATTATATGATATAAAGCTCTAAAAAGTTGATTTTACATAATACATCCCTTTAATATGACAGTTGTGCCTGTGGTGATATATATGTGCTTCCTAAGGTAGAGCCTAAGCAAAAATCAGTTTGAACTTTGTTGCTTTTCACCATAGGGCCAAGTTAGAGAAGATGCCATCCATCCCCGAGGAGCCCGAGGTTCTGGAAAACGAACTGGAGAGGAGGACTATGCCAGACTTTGTCAAACCTCTCGCTGATGTCGAAGTGATTGAAGGGAAGGAGGCGGTGCTGAGATGCAAAGTGGAAGGTTTGCCATACCCGACCATCTCCTGGTACCACAACGGCAAACGCATCGAAAGCAGCGAGGAGCGCAAAATGACTCAGTGTAAGAAAACTAAACTAAACTAAACTAAACTAAACTAAACTAAACTAAACTAAACTAAACTAAACTAAACTAAACTAAACTAAACTAAACTAAACTAAACTAAACTAAACTAAACTAAACTAAACTAAAGCAAAGCCTTTCTTTAAGTTGGTTTGTTGGTATTAATATTTGCATGTGTTCTTCAGACAGGGATGTCCACAATTTGGTGATCCGGAACGCATGTCATGCTCACGGTGGAGTCTACAAGGCTGTGATCGCCAACAAAGTGGGCAAATCAGCCTGCTATGCGCATCTCTATGTTACAGGTAAGGATGCCGTTTGGAGATGTATGAGAGAAAATGCAACATTTCCAGAGTCATGTCTGCGTTTTTTTCAAAACAGACGTCGTGCCCGACCCTCCTGACGGTCCTCCAGTGATCGAGGCCATCACAGGGAAAACTATAACCCTTAGCTGGAAGCCACCAAAGAGGGTCGACCCTTCATTTGGTGAGTCCGCCACTTTGTTCCTCCTACAGTTTCTTCTTGTTTTATCTGATGACAAACACTATTTATGGCATCCATGACCCAGATACTTATTTCAGTAATGTTGTTTTTGTCTTCTGGGATAACACGTCTTGTCAGCTCTGATTTGAAAACAAAAACATTTATATTTTTTTATTTGGTTGATGAGGTTGTCTGACAGCTTTTTGTTCTCGCAGATTCCAGCTCCTTGCTGTACGTGGTCCAGCAGCAGCCTCTGGGCTCCATCCAGTGGTCTGTTGTGGTTTCCAACCTAAAGGAGACTAATTACACCGTCACCTCCCTGTCCAAAGGAGTCCGTTACGCCTTCAGGGTCCTTACGTCCACCGGGAAGACACTTAGCAAACCATCGCCTTCCACTGATCTGGTCCAGCTGCTGGACAGAGGTACAGAAACCGAAGGAGATGTTTTCTGCTCGTCTGAAGTGATGTACTGCACATTTGAGTAAAAGCTCACGAGTTTTTCCTCATTCCTAACTTCTCCAGGGCCATATTTAAGGAAAGCACCAGTTATTTTGGAAAAACCTGATGTTGTTTACGTGGTAGAAAACCAGCCAGCAAATATCACCATCACCCTGAACCATGTCCATGCAGCTGTCACCTGGAAAAGGTTTGTTCCAGTCTTCAAATGACAGACTTCTGTGGCCACAAAAGCACTAAATGTTACAAAAACACTCTGGTTTGTAGTCGGAAGCTATAGCTGTCCTAAAGCAACAAAGTACAAAGGCTTTTTTACTTTACTTAGAAATTTTGGTTATCTATACTTAACTTGAGTAATTATTTTTCTGCCGACTTTCCGTTTTACTCCTTACCCCTAATTTACACTACAAGCGTCTCCGCTCCGCTGCGCTGCGGTGCGCAGGTCGCAGCTGTTCGTTTGTGTCTCAATTTATACAGACTCCGCTCTGCTCCGGTCCGACAGACGTGCAGGAAGGAGATTGCGCGATAAATTCAGTGACAAATGTGGAAGTTACAGCAAAAAATAATTAATTCTGTGAAAGATGAACTCCAAACACAGCTGAAAACATTGATATAAAGGTTTTTGATATCTATGGTTGAAACTGTCTCGCTGTCAGCTTTCTGAAACTTCTGATTTCAAAATAAAATCCACGTGTATCGCGCGTGTACACATAGCTTCATCTACATGTTGCCATCTGCTTCCCAAACAGAACGATACATTCTGACAGCATTTGTGTAGAAATATATCTGTATATTTATTAATATAGGTGCTATTTTGATGTTATTCCGAAAAATTATCCCGCCTAAAAGTGTCTTATTTTGAAAATACGGATGTTGTACTCATTTCTTTTCCTGTTGGTGCGACGTAATCTTTAAAAATTGACTTTGGCACAGCTCCGGCATCCGACAAAAATAGGATCTGTTCCCATTTTGTCGAATCACCGTCCGCTCACCGCCGCCCTGCGCCGCCGTGTGCAGCCAGTGTAAACAATCTCATTGGTTATAATGGGTGTGTATTTGCTGCGGAGGTCGGACCGGAGCGGAGCCGGAACGCATGTAGTGTAAATTAGGCTTTACATTTTTAAAACAGAAGTAGAAAGACATTTATTCCTATTTAATTTGGCTTGTTTTCTCTCTGGATTTCATTGTTAAAGAAAACTATCCAGATAAATTGTTCCTCCTGAATAAAGTTAAATTAACTGTGTGGTTGGATAGGAAGTATAAATATATACAATCCTGACACACAGCTGAATGACATAAATCACATCACACTCCAGCAGGACATAGCAGACATTATGTAGCCTAGTATGAAAATGACCGTGGCAGATATACAGTATACACAGCTGTAAACTAGGTAAACTAGTGCATCCCAAATTTTCAACATTAATATTTTAGTTTAACATTATAGTCATCAAGGCCTTTAGAAAAATGTTTTTTGGGGGGTCAACCCACAGCAAATGTCATTTTTGACATTCTAACTTAATGTTACTTTTAATATCTAAGTACATTTTATACCAGAAATTTACATTTGATACTGAAGTACATGTCACATACCTTGAGACTTTTACTGAAGTACCATTCTTAGAGGAGACTTCAACTTTTACCAAAGTAATTTTATGGTAAGATACTTGTACTTTTACTCAAGTGTCACTTTGAGGTACTTTATACAACACTGGCCATGTTGTCTGGGTTCCCCTCAGGAGGGGGGTGGTGTTGGTGAACAAACCAGGAACACTGGAGATGAGCATGCCCGACGATGATCAGCACACCCTGAGGCTACAGCGGGTCAGGAGCACAGACGTCGGCCAGCTGGTGGTCATGGCCAGCAACCAGTTTGGCAGCGACCTCTGCACACTTCAGCTGGCCCTGGCAGGTCAGCTCTGGCAGGACATCCTGATACAGTTAGCCTTTTAGTCTGAAAAGCTTTGAATTCATTTGGGATGTTTCCTGTTTTGTTTTGTTGTTCTGCAGTTGCTCCAAAGTTTGAAAGCATCATGGAGGATGTGGATGTACATGTTGGGCAAACATCTCATCTGGCTGTAGTGGTGGAAGGGAAACCGGATCCAGACATTCTGTGGTTTAAGGTATTTGATACAAGATGACTCAAACTACAACACAAATCTAAACTTCAGAAGCTTCAGCTTTTTTTTTCTTTAATCACCTGCTGCCAAAAGGCAAAAGGTGTGTGATGATGTTTTTGCTGGTGTCTGTCTCTCTCTGTGTGTGTGTGTGTGTGTGTGTGTGTGTGTGTGTGTGTGTGTGTGTGTTGTTTGTATCGAGGT